GCTACTTGGAAAGCTGAGGTGGAAGGATCACCTGAGCCCAGCAGGTCGAGGCTGTGGTGGCTGTGAGCATGTCACTGTACTCCAGCCTGGCTGACAGAGTGAGATTCTGACTCAAAAAAATAAATAAATAACCAGTGTAAGTCCCTACTTTATCAACTTGGAATCCATATACAAATTCCTTCCCCAAAAAAGGAGGTAAAGTCCTTGGATGATTTGTAATCTTCTCCTTGATATCCTATAACTCTATAACTTTAATACCATAAGTCCCCTATGTACAAACCTTCAAGTTACAAACTATAACAATGCACACATGCTTTTTTTTTTTTAGTTGGAGTCTCACTCTTGTCATCCAGACTGGAGTGCAGCGGCACGCTCATGGTCACCGCAGCCTCCACCTGCTGGACTTAGGTGATCCTTCCGCCTCAGCCTTCCAAGTAGCTGGAATTGCAGATGTACACCACCACGTCCAGCTAGGTTTTTTTTTTGTGTGTGATTTATTGTAGAGACGAGGTCTCACCAAGTTGCCCAGGCTGGTCTTGAACCTGCGGGCTCTCCTCTCACCTCAGCCTCCCAAAGTGCTGGGATTATAGGCTGAGCCACTGCGCCTGGCCCACACATGCTTTTTATGTGTTATTTCTCTCCACTAGGTGTCAATATAGCCTGATGGATACATACAGTACTGCATAGCCAATTGTGTTAGTTGAATACCTAATTCAGCCAATTAGTTGAACAACTAATTGTATTAGTTGAATACCTAATTAAACTAATTTTGTTGGATTTACAGCAAATGGACTTATGGACATGCTCTCAGAACCAAACTTGTTCATATGTTGGGGACTTCCTGTATTATTATGTAAAGTTAATAATACTTAAATACTATGATATAAAGTTAATATGCCTTATGTTACATGATAAGGGCACGAGAGAGGGAAGAAAACAGATATTTTACACCACACACCATACATTCATTATAAGAAATAAATACTCAGGACAATTATAATAACTACCTTCTTCTACTACCCATTCTGTATTCCCTTTACCATTAGAGATCACTTTAGCTGGTTGTGGTTCTTTATGTGAGGTGGAATGGGTAGTGATCCAAACCTTCATTCCTGAAGGAGCTGGGTCATTAGTAGCCCTGCCTAGATTGAATTGTTGTAGTTCCATTGACTTTAATCACGGGGCATGGTAATACTAAGAGCTGCCCTAAGGGATCTCTTGTCTTCCAGGAATACTCATCCTTGCCTCCATTGTGGAGTAGTCGTCCAATTTTCCCTGGTAGTCAGGATCAATTACCACAGCCAACATCATAACTCCCTTCTTAGCCTGTTGATTTAGATGCATGAGAAGCAAAAAGTGGCCAGGTAGCAGTCTTGACTTCCAGTTCAATGAAATCATTGTTATGTCTCCAAGTTTCCTTAGGATCATTATTTTGAACTCCTCTTCAGGCATTTCATAGATTTCCTTTTCTTTGGAATCTGTTACTGGAGAATTATTGTGCTCCTTTGGAGATGCTATGTTTCCTTGATTTTTAATGTTTCTTGTGTTTTTTCATTCTGTGTGTCTGGTGCAATAGTTACTTCTTCTGATTTGATCAGGTGACTTTCACAGGAGAAGACTTTTTCCTATCTGTATCTGTAGTGTTGATTGGCTTTGATTCTGGGAGGGTACAGTAGGTAGTCTTTTTATGATTTCTTTGGCTGTAATCAATGTCAGTGATCAATGTCAGTGATGTCTATGAGTCTCTCAGTGGTTTAGGCTATGGTTGTTACTGGATGCTGTGGTGAAGCTTTCCCGGCTATGGGAAAACCAGGTCCTTGGCCCCTGGGTGCCACATCCTAGCACTAGTGTTGGTGGTGGTGGGCTGTGTGAGTTAGTGCTTGGGTCTCTGGGTGGCATTCACATACACTGGCAGTGGAAGTGGAGGGCCTGGGCCAGTCCTTGGGCCCACAGACAGCATGTATGGGCACTGGCAGTGGTGGCAACAGCAGCAGGCTAGGTGAGTAGGTCCTTGGGTGTTTGGATGGTGCGTGTGGCACTGGGAGTGCCAAGAGTGGTGGTGAGCTAGCCTTTGGGTCCCTAGGTGGCATGTATGGGCCCTGGCAGTGGTGGTAGCAGGCTAGGTTGGTGAGTCCCTGGGCCCTGGGCAGTGTGTGTGGGTGCCAATGGTGGCAGTGGTGGGCAGGATAACGTGAATTATTTGACTGCAACTTATTATCTTTAATTTGGGGAGTAGTTCCTTCCTCACACAGAGTTTACATTAGCTTCGGATGGTCACATACAAGTAATTACAAGTATGACAAAACAAAAAAACCTAAAATGCTCATTTATAACTAATACAAATAATAAAAATGAATATGATTCTTTGTAGATGGCAGATCACTATTTATTCATTTGCTTATTTATTTATTTTGAGTTGGAGTCTCACTCCGGCTGGAGTGCAGTGGGATGCTCACGGCCATCCTGGCATCGACCTGCTGGGCTCTGATGATCCTTCCTCCTCAGCCTTCCAAGTAGCCAGAACTACAGATGCGTGCTACCACGCCCAGTCAATTTTTGATTTACTGTAAAGACGAGGTCTCACTAAGTTGCCCGGTCTTGTCTCGAACCTGCGGGCTCAGGCAATGCACTCGTCTCGGCTTTCCAAAGTGCTGGAATTACAGGCTAAGCCACCGAGCCCGGCTGGCAGATCACTTTTTAATCATTCTTTTGTTTATTCCAACTTATTTTTAAGGAATATATTATTATTACTATGAAAATACACTCTATGAGACAAATTATTGCCAAATGACATAAGTGAATGTATATGTGAAGAAATTACATGCATACTTTAACAAAGGCTATTTCTGAATGATGGGATCCTAGAAAATTTCTTTTTCTTTAAAATTTTCTGAATATACCAAATTTTCTAGAATATACATCAAACTTTATGATCAGAAAATATAAAGAATAAAGTGTTTATGGCATAAAGGTATCAGATAAGGAGGGTAAGTGCACTATTAATTGATAGCTGAAGGATCTTTGGTTGCCCTCTGCTGGGGGCAGTTTCTTTTCTTTTTCTTTGAGTTGGAGTCTCACTCTGTCGCCCAGACTGGAGTGCAGTGGCATGCTCCCAGTCACCGCAGCCTCGACCTGCTGGGCTCTGGTGATCCTTCCACCTCAGCCTTCCAAGTAGCTGGAACTACAGGCACGCGCTACCACATCTGGCTAATTTTTTGATTTATTGTACAGATGAGGTCTCGCCAAATTGCCCAGGCGGGTCTCGAACCTGCGGGCTCAGGTAATTCACTCACCTTGGCCTCCCAATGTGTGGGATTAAAGGCTGAGCCACCGAACACGGCAGAAGTTAAGTTTTCAACAGGAGGAACACAGAATCTGAGGTACAACCTAGTATGGGGATAGCAGTCTAATGTTTGATGAATCTTAAAGGAAAAACCTGTGATCATGGTAGAGGGGCATTATCTTCTTGTAGCTGTGGCTTTGCCATGAGTTCCCAAACCTTCCTTGATTTCAGGCCGAGGGATTCTTGAACAATCAAGAAGAAAGCATGCAAGGCAGTAGAGTTGAACAGTTATAGCGAATCAGCTCAAAACATATGTCCAACAAAGTGGAGCATAAATAAAGAAATGCAGGCAAGTAGTTCACTTGGTTGGAGCATACTGTATGTTTCGAAGAGCAGCTATAAGTAGAGCTGGATTTTTGGACTGGAAACAGATTGCAAAGAGATTGTCATGTTAGCTTGAAGGTTTTGAACTTGACTTGCCTGGCAGGTAGGTTACTCCCTTGCTTTGCAGGAAGTAAACAAAATTTAAGCAGCACTATTTATATACCAAAATAGCACTACCTTCTGCTTCGGTAAAATGTGGAAATTCGCAAGTTACTTTTCAGTACTTGAGTTTTATACAAATATCCTGGAAGTAGGTGATGACACTTCCATCTTATGAATGAAGACACTGAGGCTTAGAATGGTTAAGTGACTTCTCCAGATATCAGCTAGTGAGTGGCAGAGCAGAAGGTGAACTAGGTCAGACTCCAAGTTCATGGTCATACTCACCACATGGGGCTTCTCTGCTAACTTTACCTGGCACGTGCTGCTCACGAGTCCCACACAGAACTCATGACAAACTCTAGTTTGTCTCTTGTGATATTTTCATTATATCATATTATTCTATATACATTATGTTTCTTTTATGCTCTAGATGTCACTTCTTTATTGTATTTTATAAGACAGTGTTTCCCAAACTTGGCTAATCATTAGAATTACTATGACATTTGAGGAATACAGAGTTCTAGGTTTCTTCCTTTCAAATTCTTATTTGACAGGTCCTGGTTGGTCTCCAGATAGCTGTATTTTCTTTCTTTCTTCTTCTTTTTTCTTTTGAGTCAGGGTCTCCCTGATTGGAGTACAGTGGCAAAATCATGGTTCACTGAAGCCTCAGCCTTCTGAGCTCAAGAAATATTTCCACTTCGGCCTCCCAAGTTGCTGGGACTGCAGGCATGTGTCACCAAGCCTGGCTAATTTTTTTTTGGTTGTTGTTGAGACGGTCTTGCTATGTTAACCAGACTGGTCTCAAACTCCTAGGCTCAAGCAACCCAAAATGCGAGATTACAGGGGTGAGCCACCATACCTGACCCAGAAATCTGTATTTTTAACATCTGACCATCACTATTAATCATGAGATTCTTTTCAACTTTGTAACCTGCCTGTTTTCTGCGATTTCTAATATATCTGACTTCCTGTGGTTCTTAGTGGTAAAAAAAAAAAAAAAAAGCCCTTCAAATAACTAAAAGGGATCTCTGGTGTTGTTTCAGAGATGAGAACACAGGACGATCCTGGGAAATAGTGTTCCTTGTTCTAATCTAGTTTGAGTCTAGGATTTCAGTAGCTCAACGTCTTTCTGGACAATTTGAGTAAAAAACAGAATGTGCCTTCTTGCTGTTCCTCTGTCCACTCTGTGTGTGAGTTAAACGTTGATGTGTTGCTCATTTCCCAACAGAACCAGCATGAGCCTGTGTCAAGAGAGTATGTCGGAGCAGAGCAGCCGGATGCCTGAACTGCGGCTCCTCCTCCTGGGGAAATGTCGCTCAGGAAAAAGTGCCACGGGAAACACCATTCTGGGCAAAACTGCGTTCAAGTCCAAGTTCAGTGATCAGATGGTGACCAAAAAATGCCAGAGTGAGAGAGGGATCCTGAAAGGGAGGGAGGTTGTGGTTATTGACACTCCTGACCTTTTCTCCTCAATAGCTTGTGCTGAAGACAAGCAACGCAACATCCAACACTGCTTGGAGCTTTCAGCTCCCAGCCTCCACGTCCTGCTCCTGGTAACTCCTGTTGGCTATTTCACAAAGGAGGACCAGGAGGTAGTCAAGGGCATCCAAGAGGTGTTTGGGGTTGAAGCCAGGAGGCACATTATTATTGTTTTCACTCGGAAGGATGATTTGGGGGATGCTTTGCTGCAAGATTACATTGAAAACAATGAGTCTCTCAAGGAGTTGGTTCAGAATTATGGGAGCCGATACTGCCTTTTCAACAACAAGGCAGGTGAAGATGAGCAGGTCACCCAGGTGTTGGAGCTCTTCCGCAGGATAGATCACTTGGTAAATGAGAACCGAGGACCATATTGTGTGAACTTCAAAACTGCAGGCAGCAGATTTCAGGTAAGAATTCTTGTTACTGTCTCTAAGGATCTCTATGTTGCTAAAGCTAGCAGAATGAAGATGAGTACAAATAAATGAAATATTGCATTATGATAGGACATGGATTTTGTTTAAGGAGATATATGTAATCTGCAAAAATAAGAGGTATTAGACTATAGGTTTATTTAAGTATCAACCTAAGAACTTCAAGTTTTATTGGCAAATTAATGGGCAAATGTAAGCCCTTACCTTCCTTGGCCTGTCATATTATTAGACACACAAATGACTTATTAGACTCTCTGTTCCCTTTCCTGGTTTCAACAGAATTACCCTCTCCCTGTTTTTTTTTTTCCTCTAAAAGTTGACATCCTCAGGGCTTAGTTCTGGCCCTCCTTTGACCATTTACACCTCCTTTGACCCTTTACACTCTCTTCATAGTATTGAGCTCTATCTATTGCCGATAGTTTTCAAATTAGTAGTAACTCTAGTGTGGGCCTGTCCTCTGAGTTCTGACTCTTATACCATTGCTGCTTAGCATTTCCACTTGTCTCTCTTATACTTTCTAAAACATAGCATGTCCAAACTTTTGATTTTTCTCTCTTACATCTATAAGACTTCTCCCCGACAGTTCATTAAGTGGTTGTGCCTCTCTCCATGGTCTTCATACCTAAGCATTGATGTCAGCTTTGATACCCTACTAGCTTGCACATGACAGCCCGGAAATCATCAGGTCTTGTGGGATTAGTGCACCTGGAACCCACCTACTTCTCTCCATCTCACTTCTACCACTTGGTCAAAATCAATGTCTCTTCTTGCCTATCTTATTTCAACCTACTGATGACTTCTCCCCATTTAGTCTTGGACTTTATTCTCCAATCCATTTCACATGCAACAACCAGGGTGGCATTTAATTTAATTTTTTTTAACATGAAAGGAAAATGTATTTGCAACTAAAGAAGAGAGAAAATGCAGGCATTTTTCTTTGAGGAGCTTACACTTCAATTGGAGTGACTTATGCATGTGAAACAAACAGGATGGAAAGAGGAGGAAAATCAACATTTACTGAGTGCCTGCTAACTTCTAGACACATACGTGAACTGATTACGTCTTCACAGCAACTCCATGTACAGATGCTCTACAGATGAGGAAACAAAGACTCAAGAGCACTTAGGAAGCCTGCCTTCCTATCTTTTGAGCTCTCTCACTTATGACCACTTGTCTCTCCCTCGAGGGCTGCATGGAGCAGAGATGTCAGCAGAGAGAAGAGTGATTTTCCTGCAATGAAACCCTCCTGTCTAAAATGCCCCAGCGACTTCCTGCTGAGCTTAAAATAAAGTTCAGAATCCTTCATTCGGCTTGGCTCCTTGCCCTGTTCCCTACTGTCTGTGTATTGGTCTTACTGGCTCTCCTGTTGGCCCTCGAGTCTCAAGTCTGTGAGCAAGTCTGCCTACACTGATACTTGCTCTCCCCCATTCCACTCTGTATCATGTCTTTGATTTATTCATCTGCCCCAATTAAACTCACTTCCTCGGAGAGTTCTCCCAACCATCCTCATTCTCAGGCCCTGGAATAAGTCCCCACAGCACCCCCTACCTCACACTTGTCACCACCATATCAAGTGATTCCAATGGTTGCCTCTCCACAAACTCCATGAGGGCAAACTGTTTTGTTGACTATAGTATCTTAGTTTTATTTTCTGTAAAACAGAGGTGATAACTACATGTATCTCAGGAATTTCTGTGAGGATTGAATGAGATGTTTACAAAATTGTTAATAAATACTTGAAACTTGGTAGGTGTTCAATAATTATTTGTTGCTATTATGGTGAAAATATATGAGGGTCAAATAAATTATGGAGACATTAAGGAATTTAATAATCTCGAGACTGAGAGATCCTCGTGTATTTCCCATGGCAATAAAAACATTCGTATATATAGAGATACGTGTACAAGAATAGTAATCACAGTATTTTTTAAAATGGCAAAACTAGAAATAACCTGGATATCCATCAATAAAGGGACAGTTGCATTTGTTATGCATATTCTTCACTATGGAATAAACCGTATCTACTAAAAAGAATCATATAGATATTTCTATGTTGATTTCTGCAGATATACAGGGTATGTTATTAAGCAGATGGCAGAACATATCAATTGTTATTCTGGACAGGTCCACAAAGGCCAACAGAGACCTTGACTAGCACCTTGATTTGACCACATCCCAATCAGAAGATTGCTCTGAATTATATACTTGAGTTTCCTTTTTTTTTTTTAACTTTGCAAAAAAGACGATATTTGGGATCTGTATGCATCATTTTTTCCTCTTATGTCTTAGGAGGGTGTACATGAAACTAAATCTCAGGAGGGAGACAATCCATGTGGTAAGTTGATACTTAAAAATACTAAGCTCGTGTGTATTCTTTTTAATGCATTATGCTGCCAAAGTGAGGTGGAAAATTGTGCATACAAATTGGAGCAAAAATTCACCCTAGAGACCTAGGTCACATTGGTGTCCACAATCTGTCTCTGAGGGAACTCCTAATCTTTGTAAGTAAGTACAGCACTAGCAAGGGTCCTGGACCCAGCAAAGGTGTCCTGAGACTTTCCTGAAATGTCACAGAGCTAGACTTGCCTCTCGTGGCTTCTTTACTAACTCAGCCAGTTTCTGACCCTTGATCCAGTACTGCCCAAGTTTTGGCTCTTGCTAGGAAAGTGGAAATCACTCCTTCACAGACAACACCAGCTTGCAGGATTTGCTGATGGAGCACTGCATCCATGTAATAATTGTATTAATGATATACCCTGCACATCTGTGCAAGTCAATATGTACAGATCTACCTCTTTCTGTTTAGTAGATGCAATTTGTTTCATAATGTGAACATACATCATGAATACAGCCATGCCTGTATTGGTGAATTTGCAGGTTATTTCTGTGTCATCTCTGTGGGAACTGGGTATCTGGCAGTGAATAAGATGTATAAAATACTTTTCCTTTTGGAACTCCCTCAAATAATATGATCGTAATTTTAATAATAATGATCATATTTTCAGCTGACATGTATTGGGAAAATAATGTTTATATATAAAATTTAATCCTCATAGCATATAATATGAAGCCCTCTTTCAAATACATAGTCCTCATAACAACCCTGTAAAGAAGATGTCATTATCATTATTTCACAGATGAGTGAACACCGCCAGAAATATGTGAACTCAGGCAGAAGGGCTTCAAATTTCTGTCAATGCCCTTCAGCTAAGATCCTTAGGAGCATACCAGTGACTGAGCAAAATGGGGTTTATTGACTTGTGACAGTGAGGGCCTAACACACCCTGGAGAATCACAGGGCATCTGAGAAAGAAGGGGCTGGGAAGGACGTTTATAGGCTGTGAGTGTGTGTAAGTTTCCAGGAAGTGAGACTTTGCTATGAATGGATGCTATCTGGAAGGGAGGGGGGGCAGTTCCACAACAAGGTGTTTTCATAATTCTTATCTCAAAGATGATACAGGTAGAGCAAGGCTAAAGCTGTCAGGAAGCAGTTGCCATCCTTTTAGCCAGGATGGAGATGTCTGGGCAATGCCTTTGTTTTTGTATGTTCAGACATGATTGTGTGCTTGTGTCTGACGTTGTACTGCTGTGGATGAGGAATGGGAGGGTGCCATCATTTCTCAGTGGATGCTGGACCAGCTCCTAGCTCTCAGGAGCTACTTTTTTTCTTTCTCACTGTTACTTTTAACCACTACACTCTCCTGTCTCTCCTGCATTGACGGGAGCCAAAATTTGAAATAGATGATGAATTATTATTTTGGTAAGAGTCATAAAGAAGAACACCTGGCAACTAATTAGTATGGTTTTGTGGGGAGCAATTCAGGGGACACTTGTGAAGAAGTTATATTTTTCACAGGAACCTGAATAACCATAACCAGCAGGAGTTAGACAGGCAAGGAGGTGAGGAAAGTGCTATCATATGTGCCCAAGTTCTGAACTGTATTGGATGAGAGGAGCTGTGAGGGGGGAGAGAAAGAGGCTTCTAGGCCTGATTCAAGTTTTTCCTTACCCCTGAAGCCTTCCATGGACAATTGTGTGCCAGTCAGGATACAAAAGATTTTACAGATGCTGTTTTTTTTTCAGTCCTTTCAACAGCCCCATTATATGGGCATTATTATTCCTGTTCTGACAACATGTAAACTGAGATTCACAAAGTAGTAACTTTTCCAAGGTGACATAACAGGAACCTGGTGTCACTGCCTTGCTTTGCATTCAATACCTTGCTCATCCAACCGTCCTGACTTGGTGCTCAGATGCTGAGTGATGATCTCTTCCCATGAGGGCTTTTGATGATTCAGACTCAGCAAATATTTCCTGCAGTGGCTGACTCTACCTTTTGTTCAGTACACAGGTCTAATGTTGCTGTTGGCTCGCAGGAGAAGTGGTGGGCCAGGGGACGTGTGGAGAGGTAGTTGTAGGGTGCGGGTTTGCAGATTTGTGATTTATTGAGGTATAGTTTACATAGAGTGAAATGCACAGACCTTAAGTATATAGCTTGATACCTTTTCCTATATCTACACAATCTAGATAAAAATATAGACCATTTCCATCATCTTAGATGTTCTTACTGCTACTCCCCAAGGAGAATGACTGTCCAGATTTCTATCAACATAGATTGGTTATATGGTTCTTGAACTTCACATAATGGAATCATATAGCCTGTAGTTTTTGTGTCTGGCTTTTTTTCACTTAGCATGTTTTTGGGATCCATCCATGTTGCATGCCACTATTTTACTATTTTTTTTTTTGAATTGGAGTCTCACGCGGTCGCCCAGACTGGAGTGCAGTGGCCACTCCCGGCCACCACAGCCTTGCCTGCTGGGCTCTGGCAATCCTTCTGCTTCAGCCTTCCGAGTAGCCGGAATTACAGGCATGCGCTACCACACCCGGCTGATTTTTTGATTTATTGTAGAGATGAGGTCTCACTGCCCAGGCGGGTCTTGAACCTGCGGGCTCAGGCAATCCACTCACCTCAGCCACCCAAAGGCACGGGATTACAGGCTGAGCCACCGAGCCCGGCTCACTATTTTTAAAAAAAGAAATTGCTGAGTGTATTTGATTTTATGAATATACTAGTAAGGGGCATTTTAAAAATCAGATATTCTCCACTCCTACCATAGTCCTTGGGTCTCAGGCCTAGTACCAACCTTTGGTAACAAAACAAGGAGAACTCCGAGGTCCACAACAAATGAAGGCCAAATTTAGCATGTTCATGTTCCTGGCAAATCTCAAGCTTCTTGCACATCCCTTAGTTTACTCAGGCCCTGTTTATGGCTTTTACCTTAATGGATAGCTTCTGGCTGAGACTAGAGTTCCATAGGTTCAGAGTGCTGTTGCCTTTCTCTATAAAAATTGATGAGAATGAAAAAATCATAAAAACTGTCCACATTCATATTCAACTGCAGGAAGAGATTCTGAATCTGTCTGCTTGTCACACAGGACCACAGGAGAGGCAACTGCAGGCCACAGGACCTGAACAGAATTCAGGAACATCAGAACTGAAGGTCCTCATCGTGGGAAAGCGTGGGGTTGGAAAAAGTGCAGCAGGAAACAGCATTCTGGGGAAGAGGGTCTTTGAGACCAAATTCAGCGAGGAGTCAGTAACCCAGAACTTTCAGTCTGAGAGCAGAATATGGAGAGGGAAGAAAGTTTTGATCATTGATACTCCAGACATCTCATCTTCAAAGAACATTGCATCAGAGCTTAGAAAACACACCCTTCCAGGCCCTCATGCCTTCCTGCTGGTGATGCCATTGGGTTCTTACACCAGGAAAAATGAAGCGATGCTAGACATCATACAGAGGCATTTTGGAGACAAATTATTTGAGTACATGATCATTCTCCTTACAAGGAAAGAAGACTTAGGGGATCAGGATCTAGATATGTTCTTAAACAGAAATGAAGCTCTCCATAAGCTCATCCAGAAATGTAAGAACAGATACAGTGCCTTTAACTGCCAGGCAATGGGAGAGGAGAAGCAAAGGCAGGTGGATGAACTCCTGCAAAAAATCAAGAGCATGGTGCAACAGAATGGGGAGAAGCCTTGCATTTTAAGAGAAAAAGGTAAAACTATGCATAGAAACATTTTACATATACTGTTTACATAGGTATAAGATATACAAGAAAATTTTATTTTCTAAAAGGTACAAAGAAAATGGAAAGGACAGGTCTATTCTATTGACTATACTCTTTTCACTAGCTCCTTTTTTCCCTCAGATTTTACTGAAGTTATGACCTTTTCATGCACATGGTCATAAACTAGATTTTAATTCTTCCATGACCCTAACTCATCTCTCCAACTAGATGTGAGGGTCATGAGGGAGGAAGTTGACCTTTTCCAAACTCATGTTTCTCCCCACAGTGTCCTATTGCCCAGGCTGACACACTGTTCTTTCTGCTACTTAAGAAAGACTCCCTCATTCACTTGGTGCTGCACATTTGAATGACCTGAGCTGAGATCCTTCTCATTCTTATTCATACCATTCTTTTCTGCTTCAAACATCCTCACCCAAGAAGAACATAAGACTGAAAGGACCATATCTACTTATTGAACCCTTTTATATTCCTCATGGAATGCCAGATGTGAGGGCGCCACCTATAGAAGTAAAGATATGTGGAAAAGTCAGGAGAGGTTGTGTGGTGAAAGCCCCATTTGAAAGAGGTTTTGGAGAATGGGTAGGGTCTGGATGTCTGAGAAAAAAGCTGGAAGACACTCCAGAGAGTATACTAGTAATTCGAAGTAAAAAAGTAAGACCAAGCATGTCACTTGTTAGGGGACAAAATAGAATTGTCTTGGTGGAGATAGGATTTCACAGCTCTAGATAATGTCAGTGAGGTGGGTGGGGAGGTTAGACCAGATTTCAGAGGTACTTGAGAACGAGACCCTCCGTGAGTATAGAAGCAGAGAATGAAATACATGACAAACAGTTGGGGGGCAGGGGAGGGAGAGAGTGTTGGAAGATCAAGCTATTGTTCATCCCATAAGTGTAATTATGAAATTGTGGGTTCAGGATAAGCAAAAATTTCCCCTGGAAAGAATAGTACAGGATGGGTTTTCCTCCCTCTTGCTATGATGTAGATACTAGCCACTTGATAACGAATTCATAATGGAAGGGAATTGTGAAGAGACCTGAATAAGCACTGGAACATAGCAGTACAAGTGCAAAAGCACAAGGAAAGCCTCCAAAGAACACACATTGTAAGGTCTCTATGCATCTGTAAATTCCATTTATAGGGGAATTTATTCTCCTTCCATCACTGTCACTGCACACAACAGTGTTAGTGGATATTCATTATTATAACCATATAGTGTTTGTTGACTGATCAGTGAAAGACAGTTAGGTTCAATGTGGTTTTAATGAGAAATGAACTTTAGCATTATCTAACCAAGGAGACTGATCATATAGTTACTTTTCCGTGAATGTCAGTTCTACAGAATAAAATCATTTAAATATTGTAAAGAGATTTTTCTGTAGTTAGCATTTGTGGGCAATGGGAAGACATAGTTGCAACAGGAACAGAAGAGGCAGGAATGAGATGTGTAGACTGGACCCAGCAGAGAGGAATGAAGAGCAAAAGGGCCAGTGACAGGTACCAGGGAGTCAGAGAAGGTACCAGAAAAAGGCAGCAGAGCAGATTCAGAAATGGGAACAGTGCTGTGTTTTTGGATGAACACTGGATGCAGACTGTGATCTAAGTCCTGCTGCTGAGTTCACAGACAGTGAACTGGGACAAGCCATTCAGGTGTTTGGGAATTGATGTGCCAGGTGAGAGAGAGGCTTTGCTGCTGTCTGTGTTCTCTTTGCTTTAGTGATGTAACCCTGCTTTATGGCATAACTGTACAGTCGAATTCCCAATCAGCCCATAGTTACGAGTCTTTCTCACTTTTCTTTAACAGAGACCCTGAGCATTATACTTGTAGGGAGAAGTGGGACTGGAAAGAGTGCTACCGGGAACACCATCCTGGGGAGGCCCATCTTCCTCGCTCAGCTCCAAGCCCAGCCGGTCACCAAGATGTGCCAGAATGGCAGGGAGAATTGGGATGGGCAGGACGTGGTGGTTGTGGACACTCCTTCCTTCAACCAAATGCTCGGTGTTGAAAAGGATCCATTTCAGTTAGAGGAAGAGGTCAAACGCTGTTTGTCCTACTGTGAAGAAGGAACCAAGATTTTTGTCCTGGTGTTTCAGCTGGGGCGGTTCACTGAAGAGGACAAAACAGCGGTGTTGAAACTGGAGGCCATCTTTGGGGCAGGAGTGATGAAATATGCCATTGTGCTGTTCACCCGGAAGGAAGACCTAGGGACCGGGAAGCTGGAAGACTACATCAAGAACACAGATAACAAAGTTCTTAAGAACATAATTAAAAAGTGTGGAGGCCGATTTTGTGCTTTTGACAACAAAGAAACTGGCCAAGCTCGGGAAACCCAGGTGAAAGCGCTTTTGACAATGGCCAATGATCTGAGAGAGAGCCATGGAGGGTATGGGTATCCACATCCTTGGGTGGATGTCAGGAAACGAATTAAAAATGTTCCGGAAAAGCCCAAACCCCCAAAATTCCTAATGAATTTAACAGGACTGTTACCATAAGTAGAAGAAACACTTGGGGGTCTCCTCAATTAGTGACACCCTCAGGTTGGGGGTGGGTAGGCATGGTAGGACTGGTGGGGTGGGAGGAAGATTCATAGCTCTGTGAATTCATGGCTTGCAAGGTAAATGCATCCCACCTTGTAATGTTTCAGCTATTTGTAGGTAAATAAATTGTCAGCCTGGGGCAAATAACAGGGAATTGTAAGGAGGAGAGAAGAAACAAGGTGGGGAAATCTGGAAAAAGATTTATTTTTTATTTTTAAAGATATTGGCTGAATTGTATTTGGAATAATTTAGATATTGTACCCACATAAATGATTCTTTTTTTCAAACTTGCCTTAGTTTACCAAGAGCACAGTATCTTTGTAACATATTTATGCTAAAAGATGATAAACTTTGCTTCTTTTTGAATGTTCTGTAATTAAAACATTTTACTAATTTAATCTGGTCCTCTGCTGCTTCCACTTAATCACTTGAAATTATTATTTTTGGAAGAATATGCTATTATTGTCATTATTTTGCATTTTGTTTTAGATTCAAGGGGGTACATATGCAGGTTTGTTATATGAGTATATTGCATGCTGGTAGAGTTTGGGCTTCTCTTGAGTCCATCACCCAAATGGCAGTAAACATGGTAACCAAGAGGTAGTTTTTCAACCCTTGTCTTCTTCTCTCCCTCCCCCTTCTAATCCCCAATGCCTGTTTTCCCCATTCTTGTGCCTGTGTGTACCCAGTATTTAGCTCCCACTTTTAAGTGAGAACATGTGGTGTTTGGTTTTCTGTTTCTGTGATAATACGCTTAGAATAATGGCCTCTAGCTGCATCCACATTGCTGCAAAGTACATGATTTCCTTTTTTTATAACTGCATAATAGTCCATGGTGTATATGTACCATGTTTTCTTTATTGAGTCTACCACTGATTTCATATTTTTGCTATTGTGAACAGTGTTGCAGTAAACATATAAGTGTGGGTGTCTTTTTGATAGAACAATTTATGTTCCTTTGAGTATATACCCTGTAGTGAGATTGCTGAGTTGAATGGTGAATCTATTTTTCGTTCTTTGAGAAATCTCCAAACTGTTTTCCATGGGAGTTGAACTAGCTTACGTTCCCGACAACAGTTTATGAGTGTTCCTTTTTCTCCACAAGCTTGCAGACATTTGTTATTTTTTGACTTATTTTATTTATTTAGTTTATTTTTTGATTTATTTATTAATAATATTCATTCTGTCTGGTATGAGATGGTATCTCATCATGGTTTTGATTTGCTTTTCTCTGATGATTAATAATGTTGAGCATTTTTTCACATGTAATAACTGCTTGGGTGTCTTCTTTTGAGAAGTGTCAGTTCATGTCCTTTGCCCAATTTTTTTTTTTTTTTTGAGTTGGAGTCTCACTCTGTCGCCCAGACTGGAGTGCAGTGGCCGCTCCCGGGCACTGCAGCCTTCCGCCTCAGCCTTCCAAGTAGCTGAAACTACAGGTACGCGCTACCATGCCCAGCTAATTTTTTGATTTACTGTAGAGATGAGGTCAAGTTGCCCAGGCGGGTCTCGAACCTGCGGGCTCAGGCAATCTACTCACCTTGGCCTCCCAAAGCGCGGGGTTACAGGCTGAGCCACCGAGCCCGGCTTCTCTTTTTTATTTTACGGGATTTTCTAGGAAATAGTTTCTTTACTTTTCTTTTAGTTGAAGTTTATAATTCCCTCAGTTTCACTTCAGTTATATTTTCTTCTACTAAGTTCTGGTAAAATTAAATATACTACTTTATAATTTCAAATAAGATCTATAGATGGTTATTTTTTTAAATAAAGGTATTTGTTAATGTATCTATGTTATCCTCTATCTGTACAGATAAGTGTCTAGAATTGTTTACCTAAGGTAGAGAATTAGGGATTTTAAAAAACATTTCTTCATGATACATTTCTGACTTTGTTTAAAGTCTATAATAGACATGATTCATTTTTATAAAAGCAATAGAATGATTTCCAAGAAGCAATTGTGCCAAGATATTACATGTTTAATATCTGGTAGTGAGAGTTCTGATGGTTTTGTTTTTTGTAGTTTTATGCAATTGAAACTACAAAAATGTTACTAAGAAAAAATAAATGTAATTATGTATATCTAACCCTGAATTATACCCCACATCTTTCAAATAAATAAAAAATTAAACTGAAAAAAAGAAAATGTGTATGAAAATATATTTAGTTGAATCAAATAATAAAGATGAATTAGAATATGAATTCATATTCTCCTTCTGACTCTTATTTTTCTGATTTAGAGAAAAATCATGCTTCCACAAAGAGGCATTTGGGATGTTTGAATACCTTGACTCGGGGCAGGATGGGGTGGGGTTTATATCTGTGGTATCTGAGGACCTTGGGTGAAAGCCACTTCTATGGTAGGTCTCTGACAGCGCAGGTATCTTCCACTCTGGACATTCAACTACAGCGGTGACAAAGTAATTGGTATTAGAACCAGAAACATGGGGGGGCATAAGATCCGAAAGACATTCCATGCTTCTTCCCTGAACCTCCCTTCTGCTTGAAAGCAGGAACAGATCCCAGTGTGTTACCTTTGGCTGAGTAGGTGACACTAGAAGCTGCACAAGGTGGGGGATACACGGGTTAAGCAATGTGGCATTTTCTCAAAGGTAGGATCTAACATACATTGCTGTTTTCCTTTAGGTTCACTCCTGAGTGGGGTAACAATACTGCTGTGTCTGCTCCTTTGAGAAGTACACACTGAAAAGCAGCTAGGAATGCAAGAGATTTGTTGGGGGACAATGCCAGTGAAAGACAAAAGAGGGAAGAAGCAGGATTGGCCAGGGAAAGCCTACAGACTGTGATGCAGATCTGACATCTGCAATAAGAAAGTGGGGTGGGGATGAGTTGGGCAGGGAGAGCCTCAGATCTGACAAAGCTTGTGCCAGCTCAATGGGGAGTTGTGGGGCAAAGACGGATCAACAGCCAAGTCCTGCGCTGGGCAGACACTAGTAGCACTCCTGCACTCAGCCTTAGGCTAAACTACCCGGGAAAATCATGATTTCAGTTCAGAAGTGGAGGTGGACCCTGATAGTGCGAAGCTGGAGACTACCAGCTAGCTGCATTCTTTGGAGTTGAATGGTGAGTTTCTTCTTGAAGCGAAAGCCCTCAAGCGTGCCATACCTATGGTTGCCATAAGGGGATGACACACTCTATTCCTCACTGGGGATCCCCTCTCTGAATTGGAAGTCCAGAATTGATATTTCACTCTCTCAACCATATGTGTCTCACCAAGGACACGAGCATACTGGCCACCTATTGCTCATCCTGCTTCTGCGATGTGATGCCATTGGTGTAATGTGGTGGTTCCCAACTGGAAGCGACTTTGCCCTGCAGGGGCCATTTGGCAATTCCTGAGACTTAAAAAAAAAAATTAGAATTCAAACAAAAAAATTCAGAATTGTGGAGTACATGTGAGGATTTGTTACATAAGCATATTGCATGAAGGCGAGGTTTGGGCTTCTGACCAGCCCCTCCAACCCAGTAATGGGCATGGGACCTCATAACACCCAATGGGTGATTTTGTTTCCCTTATACTCCTTCTCCCCTTTAGCAGTGCCCAGTATCTATTGTTCCCACCAGACACATGTTTTGGTTATCACAACAGGGAGTCGGTGCTGCTGGCATCTAGTAGGCAGAGGCCAGGGATACTGCTGAACTTTCTAAAACATGCAGGACAGTTCCCCATAGCAAATAATATCTGGCCCGAAATATTAATAGTCCTGAGATGGAGAGACTCTAGTGCAATGGGTCAGTGTGACTTATTGCAGGATGTCCAGATGGCCCAGATCTCTTTGGGTTAGAGAGTGGGAGAAGTAACTTCTAAATAAGTGATTTTTCCCTTCTCACAGAATGTCTGCTTGGCTAATGCACTAAGTATGTGCTTATTTTTCATGCTGGATCATCCTGCTTCCCAGCCTCCTCTCCTTTCACACAGCGATACTTTTCACTTCAGAAAAATAAAGAATAGGGTTTTTGTGATAAATTTAGCTTAAAGAATAAAAAAAACTTTCATGATTACAAAAAATATAAAATCCCATAAAACCGACTAGATTTCTAGAAGAGAGTAGGCTGAGTTGCTGGCTGATCTGTGGAACCTGCAAGCAACCTAACTTCCCTAGAAGAGTCTCCAGGCCACTTGATAACAAGCCTCTTCCTCTCCTACCTCAAATGAAACATGTACATTTTCAGTAAAGAACCTCATCCTCCTATCCCATCATTACATTTGTTTGTACCAGGGACCCATTTGGTCCGGACTCTGCCACTAGCACACCATCACTTCCCTAACAGATTAAGACATTGGCATGCCTCATCTCCCATTTTTCCATAAGAGGAAGCAGGGTTACATATATGCCCACGGCTGTGTCACTACTCAGAAAAGACCCGAGAGGGCCTCACGCTGTCAATTCTGGCTGCCATAGAGACTCTTTTGGGCACGACACCTTTGCCCAGGCTTGGCCACTTTTTAACAGCTCACACACTGTCCTATGGTCTGTGGGTCACACTACCACCCACTAACATATGTGAGAACAGTGTTAAATGGAAAACAATAGACAGGAAATATTTGTAGCTGTAGAGAGAAATGTATCATGCGGTTCACAGCTAGATTTTACACCAAACATCTGTAAAAGTACATCCTGTGTCTATTCTCAGAAATAGATGGAAGAGTAAAAAGTTAGCAGGTTCTCATTAATATCAAGTTTCCTCTCTTTCCATTTTACTTATTTTATTTTTTCAACTCCAAAATTTCTACTTAGCATTTTCAAAATCGATACATTGTAGCCGCACATTTTATGGGGTAAAATTTTATACTTTGATATGTGTATATGTTGTATAATGATCGAGTCAGCGTAGGTAGCATATTCATCACCGCATGCATTTATCATTTCTTTGTGTTAAGAACTTTGAAAAGCCCATCTTCTGGCTATTTTGTAACACACTTAACTTACTATAAACCA